CACGTCCCTCTGACCTGTGCAGTAGTCCTCCCTTATCCATGGACTCACTTTTCTCGGTTTGTTACCACAGTCAACGTAGCCCAAAATAGGTGAGTCCAATTCAGTGAGATTATTGAGAGACAGACACACACACACCAAATGCACATAACTTTTATTACAGTATGTTATGGTTGTTCTGTTTATTATTATTGTTTTAATCTCTTATTGTGCCTAATTTATAAATTAAACTTTACCCATAGATACGTATATAGGAAACACCTGGAATCTATAGGGGGTTTAGTCCTCAATTTGAGGAATCCACTGGGGGTCTTAGAACATGTACCCTGAGGATAAAAAGGGACTGTTTTATTTCATGTAATTTGGTATTTGGATCTGAAGACTTGATTAGATTGAGATTTTTTTTTCACCCTGTCTCCCTCTTGTGCCCTTTTATTGGAAGGAACATAATACGTTCCTTCCAATATGCTTGTAACTTTTCTGACTTAGCAGGCAGGTTAAATGTGGCAGGTGAAGAAGGTTTATAAATTGCTGCTTTGAAGAAAAATAATATGTATATTAAGGATGGGTAATAGTGTAGGCCAGAGGATCACTTGAGCTGAGGAGTTCTGTTTCAACCTGGAAAACATAGCCAGGCCTGTTTCAAAAAATCTTTTTTGTTTTGTTTTGGTAATAGTTATGGTTATACATTGTCTTTCCTGACAGGTTAAAGTAAGGATTGCAGATCCTCAACTACGGCCCGAGGGCCACATGTGGGTGTTTTGCCCATTTGTTTTTTTATTTCAAAAAGATATGTGCAGTGTGCATAGAATTTGTTCATAGTTTTTTTTTAACTATAGTCTGGCCCTCCAAACTGTCTGAGCGACAGTGAACTGGCCCCCCGTTTAAAAAGTTTGAGGACCCTGGATTAGAGGTTCATGAATGTTAAATGCTGAATATTGCCTCATACATAGTAATCTCCTTTATTCCTCTTTATTTCTTTTGTCTTTCTGTGAAAATGTCATTGGTGTTTGAAAACTTAGATGACATGTTAATGGGAATTTATTAAAGCATGATCTACTTGCTTAGAGCAGAAAGCAATTACCATTAACTGTCATAGATACAATGTATATATTTATCCAAATATGTTTTTACTTATTTCTTTTCTACCAAGACAGATTTTTCAGACATTACTACTTGGGTAACATTTTTAAATACTTACTTGGCGCATATGATTTTATTTTTTAAAAAATCAATTGCTTGGGAACCTCTCGAGTTTGATCATTTATAGGTTTATTGTCTGAAAAGTTAAGAAAATTCCCTAGCACTCTGGGAGGCCGAGGCGGGCCGGATTGCTCGAGGTCAGGAGTTCGAAACCGCCTGAGCAAGAGCAAGACCGCGTCTCTACTATAAATAGAAAGAAATTAATTGGCCAAACTATATATAATATAAAAATTAGCCGGGCGTGGTGGCGCATGCCGTAGTCCAGCAACTCCGGAGGCTGAGGCAGCAGGATTGCTTGAGCCCAGGGTTTGAGGTTGCTGTGAGCTAGGCGATGCCACGCACTCACTCAGCCTGTGCAACAAAGCGAGACTCTGTCTCAAAAAACAAAAAAAAAGTTAAGAAAATTCCTGTGATTTTGAGATTAACCTGTACATAATGTACTGGGTATGCTTTAGGTGTATACAATTTGATAACTATTTCAGCCTCTAGATTTTTTAAATTTATTATTTCTTTTTTATTTTACTAGATATGAAGGATATGAATAGTTTTAAAATAAGTAAAAGGATATTATTACTATTTACTACTATGAATTGCAGCATTAGAATTAGTAATGATGAATTATCTTCCATATTTGTCCTAATGAAGGTTCTCTGGCTTGTTTTTATATGTGCTAGAGTAAGAGGCTTTTATGAAGGCTTCAAGTGCTGTTGACCTTTCCTTTTTGGTCTCAACTTTTGCTTTCCTTTCTTTTCTTTTATTGAGAGAATGTCAATAATGCACATTCAACTGAGGTAGGAATGGCTTCCTGGGGGCTCCTGTCATCTAATGCTTCTTGCACCTGCGTAGATATATTGCTCTGTGTAGGCCTTAGCTCCCAAGAGTTACAGAGTACTAAAATGACTATAGTATATTAAATGCATTAAAACTAGGGCACAATTTTATAAGGAAATTGTAAGTATTTGTGTCACAAATTATTCAAAGAAATATTATACTTTGATACTTTGGTCATAAACATGGAAGATTAAAAGCAGGTGTCCAAAATTCTATATTTTTATCTTATCCTCTTTTGCATTTATGGCATACATTTTTTATGTTATTGAGGTAATGATATTATATAATTAATTGTGTATTTTTTGATGATTCTGTAAGAAATAATTCCTCAGTTTCTAGTGCAAAACTCAGTACAACCATTTGATACTGAATTGATGATTGTTTGTAAGGTGCTTTTCAAATTCATGTGGCGTGCTGATTGGGTAATAGGTCTGTCTACATGTCTGTCTGATGGTCTGCATAATCCAGAGGGTTATTTAACATACAGCTTGAGCATCTCTAATCCAAAATTTGAAGTCTATTTCAGAATCTGAAACAGTTTAGTAGTGACATGATGCCACAAGTGGAAATTCCACATGTGACCTCATGTGATGGGTCATAGTGAAAATGCAGGCACCAACATAGTTCATGTCCGATCCCCAAGGGAATAAAGACTCTTTCAGCTCCTTGCACCTTTGATATCTATCTCTTCTGCACAAGCTGAGATTACCCCATGCAAGCATGCCACAGAGGGAATGAAATGGCGTGTGCAGGCTGGATGTACCAACAAGTTCTCCTCATGACTTCACGTGGGCCAAGACTACGTGTATTACTTATCTGAGTTTTTTATTGCTTCTTCTCTGCTCTATGGACGAAAACATTGTAATTTTCAAAAGTTTGCAGTTATCCCTATGAGTAGCAGTGATAAGAAAAGAAGAAGATTTATGTTTATCCGTATCACAGAAAGTGAAGCCATGGAGAAAACTGAACAGTGGTAAAGTGTGAATCTCATATAGAAGAGTCATGATGTTACCATATATACCTCAAGAAACAGAAGGGTAAACTGTTGAAGTCTATACAAAAGTAATGAGGAGAAGGTAATGAAAAATAGAAAAATGCTGGAGGAAGCTAAAATGAAGAGTTCAATCATGCATTGAGTCAATCCATCCAGTGTTGTAGTGAACACCTGCAACTTATTGTGTGCTGATCATGAAATAAGCAAAGGTCTGTCATGATGAACTGAAAATTGAAGGGAACTGTGAATATTAAACAAGCTGGTTGGCAGAATTTAAGAAAAACATGGCTTTTAAAGTTTTAAAGATTTGTGGTACTAAAGCACGGTCTGATCACAAAGCAGCAGAGAAATTCATTGGTGAGTTTGCCAAGGTCATCACTGATGAAAATCTGATGCCAAAAGAAGTTATAATGCTTATGAAGCATCACTGTTTGGCATTATTGCCTATGAGCATCCTGATGTGGCTGATGAGACAGCCCCTACAGGAATTAGGGATGCCAGGGCAGAGTAACTACTGGGACGTGCTAATGCAATTGGCATGCATAAGTGTAACTTGCTGTGGTAGGCAAAGCTGTTTCAAGAAGCGAGTTTCTTACCAGTCCATTATTATACAAACAAAGGCATGGGTCACCCAGACGTCTTTTCTGATTGCTTTCACAAACATTGGTACTGCAGCTCATGGTTCACTGCAGGAAGCTATACTTGATGACTGCTAGGTTTTGTTATTCCTTGACTTCTGTTTTGCTCATCCTCCAGCTGAAATGTTATTAAAAATATATGTTTATGCCATGTGCTTGCCCCCAAATGTAACCTCATTAATTCAGCCATGTGACAGGGAATCCTCAGATCACTGATGAGTAAATATATTAATAATAATGCTTTCTTGAACAGAGTGCTAGAAACAGTGAACAGAGGTGTAGGTGTGGAAGATTTTCAAAGGAGTTTAGCATGAGGAATCCATATGCTGGTTTTTTGTTGTTTGTTTTGTTTTTTTTTTTTTTTTGAGACACAGTCTCGCTTTGTCCCAGGCTAGATGAGTGCCATGGCGTCAGCTCTAGCTCATAGCATCTCAATCTCCTGGGCTCAAGCGATCTCCTGCCTCAGCCTCCAAGTAGCTGGGACTACAGGCATGCGCCACCATGCCAATAATTTTTCTATATATATTGAGTTGCGATTAATTTCTTTCTATTTATAGTAGAGACAGGGTCTCACTCTTGCTCAGGCTGGTTTCGAACTCCTGACCTCAAGCAATCCGCCCACCTCAGCCTCCCAGAGTGCTAGGATTATAGGTGGGAGCCACCGTGCCAGGCCGACACCTTTATTTTTAATGTTCAGTGTAAACAAGTTTTGTTTCATGAATAAAATTATTGAAAATATTATATAAAATACCATCAGGCTATGTATATGAGGTTTATATGATATATAAATTAGTTTCATGTTTAGACTTGAGTCCTAGCCCCAAGATGTATCTCACTATATATATAAATATATACACACATACATACACATACACATGCGTACACACACACACAAATATTTCAAAATCTGAAACACTTTTGATCCCAAGCATTTTGGATAAGGCATATTCAACCTATAACTCATGGTATATTTTACCAATTTACCTGATTTAGATTCTGTTTTTATTTTAGGTATATGTTAGCTCTGTTTGTATTGGTGGCAATTACCATAGGACAATACTTTCAATTTAACCTTTTCCTTACAATTGAATGGATCATGTATATTGGGGGGGATTGTGTATGGGTGTGCACAAAAGTCCCTTTGTACAACCCCAGCCCTCCTTTTGCATGTGATAAAACATAGCAAATCATTTGAGCCTCTTGCATCTTAAGCCAGAGTCCTTTTGCTAGGTGGTTTCCCATCTAGGAACCTTTGGGAGTGTAGGGATGGTTTCATAAAACCTTTGGGTTTTCCTCTAGCTTTTTGGTTAATACTCAACTTGTTTATCTTCTTGTAGCTGTGCGGTCAGAGAAGAAACGCCTTAGGAAGCCAAGCAAGTGGCTTCTGGAATATACAGAAGAATATGATCAGATATTTGCTCCCAAGAAAAAACAAAAGAAGGTACAGGAGCAGGTGCACAAGGTATGTTCCAACATTTCAATAATCTTTCACTGGTCCTCTTAGGAAATTGCAATTTTGCCTTCAATATCATATTTTATTCTCATGACACAAAAATTTTATCTGAGATCTTGATTTTTCAGTTTTTTATCATTAGCTTCTAGCACAGTACCTAGCATATAATGTTTACTCAGAATGTTTAAATGAGTGTATATAGTGTATGTCTTTGTATATATGTTTTTCCCTCTGTTTTCTAAGAGTATTTAATGACTTAGAAATATTGTTATGATATAATGATAAGTGAAAAACAGGATAAAAATAAAAAATATAGTATCCTATTTTAAAAATAAATATATTACTTGTCTTATTTTTTTATTCAGTTTATTTAAACTGAAATATTTTAAAGTAAATCAGATGGCTGGGCACAGTGGCTTACTTCTGTAATCCTAGCACTTTGGGAGGCCGAATCAGGAGGATCACATGAGTTCGGGAGTTTGAGACCAGCCTAAGCAACATAGTGAGACCTGGTGTCTCCAAAAAATAGAGAAATTAGGCGGACGTGGTGGCATTTGTCTGTAGTCCCAGCTACTCGGGAGGCTGAGGTAGGAGGATGGCTTGAAGCCCAGGAGTTTGAGGTTGCTGTGAGCTATGATGACACCACAGCACTCTAGCTCCAGTAACAAGAGTGAGACCCTGTCTTAAAAAAACAAATAAATAAATATAAAGTAAATTACAGATATTTTGACATTCTATCCTTATGTAATATACACCTATAAAATAGAAAAGTTTTCATTATAACCAGTTTAACATTTTTACATCTTGTTAGATCAGTTTATCAAATATCAGCCGATATGCAAATTTCCCCAGTTAACCCCTAACCTTTACCTTTGGTTTATCCGTACTAGGATCCAGTCTAAGACTACATATTATGTCTGGTTGTTATGGTTCTTAAGTCTCTTTAAATCTAGAACACTCCATATTTTTATTACTGTGTCTATATTAGCAAAGAGATTTATGTGAGTCCCTCCTCATAGATGTCACCCTTTCTCGGGTTTTGTTAAGTGTGAGGTAGAACTACTATTTAAATTATATTTTACCCTCTTTGAACAAGAAGCAATAAAACAGTATGTATGTAACTCCCTTGGTTCAAAAAGAATGTCAAGTTCCCCATCAGCCATTTCTCTGGTGCTTTTTTAAGAATACCAATTGAGATATTTGCCGATAACAATAATTTCAATAGAGGTTACAAAATGAAGAGTTTTCAGATTTTATTACTTCTTATATTTTTATAAGCTGACAGTCTCTTTCATTAACTGAACTCATACTGTCCTGAAACCATTAATTACCAATTTTGACAGTAAGAAGTTCATTAGTAGTTATTCTAGTTGGTGACACTTTAGGGAAGCTTTTTTTCTTCTATTTTTAGACTATTTTTGTGTACTTATGAATTTTTATAGCTTTAATGTATCTCAGTCGACTGCATTTTTTCTTTTCTTAATTGGGGTAAAATATGTATAACAAAATTTACCATTATTTTTATTTTTTTCCTTTTTTCTTTCTTTTTTTTAATCGTAGAAGGCATCATACTAGACATTTTTAACCATTGTTAAGTGTGCAGTTTAGTGGCATTAAATATAGTTAGTTACATTTTTATACAATCATTGCCGCCTTCTATCTCCAGAACCGTTTCATCTTCTTAAACTGAAACTCAGTACCTGTTAACCAATAGCTCCCCTTTCCCCCAGCCTCTGGCTACCATCATTTGATTTTCTGTCTTACGAATTTTATTATTCTAGATACCTAATATAAGTAGAATCATTCAATATTTATTCTTTGTGTTTGAATAATTTCCCTTATCATAATGTCTTTAAGATTTATCCATGTTGTGCAATGTGTTAGAATTTCTTTCCTTTTAAAGTTTGTTATTCTTTTTGACATTGAAGTTGTAACAGTTTTGGTCCATGGGTTCCATTTTTATTTTTTGTTCTTAGGTAAGTTCCCGCTGCGAAGAGGAAAGCCTTCTAGCCAGATGTCGAACTAGTGCTCAGAACAAGCAGGTGGACGAGAATTCTTTGATTTCAACCAAAGAAGAGCCCCCAGTTCTTGAAAGGGAGGCTCCATTTTTGGAGGGGCCTTTGGCTCAGTCAGAACTTGGAGGTGGACATGCTGAGTTGCCACAGCTGACCTTGTCTGTACCTGTGGCTCCGGAAGTCTCTCCACGGCCTGCCCTTGAGTCTGAGGAATTGCTAGTTAAAACACCAGGTAAGGTGGGGATGGGGTCTCAGTATTTCAGCAGATATGATTAGAACAAACAGGAGATTTTAGAATATTTTGATGCAAAGCCAGCATTGTATGTTTATATATTAAACCACCCACTTTTGTCCTGAAAAGTCCCTAAAACGCTGACTAAGTAGATATAGGTGCTCATAAATGTGGCACACTGTCAAGAAGACTTATATTTTACAACCACTGTATTTGCTCCATTGTTGTTCATGATTGTCCATCAGCTACCATGTAAATCTACAACCAGGATAACAAGATGTAAGGATGGGCACTGCACACTAGAGGAATAAGCTTCACATCCTGGCTACACCAGTCCATTTTACTTGGGAAGTTGTTTAACTTTTGAACTTCTTTCCTCATGAGATCATAATGTTAATAATTAATGTATAATGTTGCATACCTAATAAATGTAAATATTCCCTAGAAGTTAATTACTAGTTGCTTTTCACTTTATCATTCTTAACATACATGTCACCTTGGGATAGTTGAGTCTAGACATATGGTCTCGAATTCATTTTTTACTATTGAATATTATAGTCAGCCAAGGAATGGGAAAACCCCTTTAAATTTTTGGATAATAACTTTTTTACATTTTGAACAGCAGTTTGTGATGTTATTCCTTCCATTAAAAATAAAGATCCCAATTATGCTTAATCAAGTAAGGGAGAATCAAAAAGACCTTTTTTTTGGCAAGCATGAAAATGAAGTTTATTTTATTTTGTTTTTTTGAGACAGAATCTCACTCTGTTGCCCCGGCTAGAGTGCCATGGCATCAGCCTAGCTCACAGCATCCTCAAACTCTGGGCTCAAGCAATCTCTGCCTCAGCCTCCGAGTAGCTGGGACTATAGGCATGCACCACCATGCCGCTAATTTTTCTTATTTTGGTAGAAGACGGGTCTCGCTTTCCTCGGGCTGGTCTTGAACTCCTGAGCTCAAAGGCCAGGCTCAGCCTTCTAGAATGCTAGGCATGAGCCACCGCGTGCCAGCTGAAAATGAAGTTTATTGAAGAGAGAAAGGATTATAGAGCAAGATATAGGTTTATAGAGTATCATACATATGCCACAGATGACAACTGTACCTCTTATGACAGCAAAGGGAGAGTCAAAGGAAGGGGACAAAAAAATGCCAAAAAGATTTTTAGAAGGACACTGATTGTATTTACTGTTTTATATAATTCTCTTTTATATAATTCTTAAGAGCAGTCCGATAAAGTAAACAAGTATTTTTTATTTATTCAACTTTATTTACAGAGGAACAGAGCAAAATTATAATCCGGTTCATTTATACCCAGAATCCAGTCTTCACTTCTCCTTACTTTGTCCTTCTCACTTATTAGTTGCAATAAATGTTTGCCCTTTTGACTTCTCCGTTAGTTACTCTGTAATTTCAAATACACAAACTCGACCAGTTGTGGTGGCTGACACCTGTAATCCTAACACTTTGGGAGGCTGGAGGCAGGAGGATCATTTGAGCTCAGGAGTTGGAGACCAGCCCCAGCAAGAGCAAGACCCCATCTCTACTAAAACAAAAGAAAGAAATTAGCTGGACAACTAAAACAATATATATAGCTGAGCACGGTGGCACATGTCTGTAGTCAGCTACTAGGAAGGCTGAGGCAGTAGGATGGCATGAGCCCAGGAGTTTGAGGTTGCTGTTAGCTTGGCTGATGCCACGGCACTTAGCCAAGGCAACAGAGTGAGACTCTGTCTCAAAAAAAAAAAAAAAAAGAATAGTCTGAAGAACATAGAGATTCTGTTTCTACAGAAAAATTTTAAAATAAGTTGGGTGTGGTGGAACATGCCTATAGTCCTAGCTACTCCAGAGGCTTAGGTTGGAGGATCTCTTATTTTAGTCCAGTAGTTGGAGGTTGCAGTGAGCTGTGATTGCAACACTGCAGACCCAGCTTGGGCGACAGAGCAAGACATCTCAAATAATAAATAAACAAAGAAACATACATATATACACCACCCGACATAGGAACATCTCGTATTAGTTTGTATCTGCATTGAAATGATTTACTTGTTTTTTTTAGATAATAAAAACAGTATGCTGCCTTTCCCCATAAGATGAAGAGGAAAACGTCAAGAATATTTGTGGACTCCTTTGGTGTGGTATATAGATTTTTAAAAAATTACCTTTGCCCAGTTTCTTATTCATCTAATGTAAAAAACATACATTTCAGGAAATTTGAAAGTAAGCGTCAAAGAAAACCAACTAAGAAACTTCTTGAATCCAATGATTAGATCCTGGATTTATGCCCAACGAAGGTGACCTTGGCCTTCCTAAAAAGGTATGTTGTGTTTGTCAAATTTAAAATAATGAGTTCAACCCCAGAAAATAAGAGCTTTTAAAAAACAACTTTTTAAAATAAGTCATTTATAACATCAATGTACATATACAGTAGAAATTACAATGTCAGCAACATATGTGACTCTAAGAGATCCCTTGTTTAAATGGCTGTTTTGTAGTTGTGTGGCAATGTGTATAAAGTGGTTTCAGGTTTTCTTTGTAAGTGCAAGTTTTAGAAAGCTTTTAAGATTGCATAAAGTTTTTGTCATATTCCTTTTTTGGGCCTTAAAACCTTCTTATTTCACTTCTGTCTCTAAAGTCATTAGCTACACTTATCCTCTTTCCATCTTGTAGCTTCAGCATCCAGAAAAAGAACAGTCTGCTGTAATCTAGGCTGAATTATGTGAACTTAAGTTTCTGAGTTTACAGAGTTCGTTTTTAGTAGCGGCCAAAAAAGCATCATTAACAGTGTATAAGAATAGGAAATTATTTCTAATTCTATATGGATAATGGCTAGATACTGATCGTAAATACATTCCGATCCCCTTATGTGTGAAGAGAAACTCAGGGTAAATGTCAGAAATTCAGTTGTAGAATGTACAGATTTCCTGTTCAAAAATATTAAATAATTTGAGTTTGGGGGGCTTCTATCCGACATTAACGATAGCAACTTTGTCCTTGCTAATCCTTTTTAAGGCCTGTAGTTTTTGTTTTGTTAGACACTCACCATCTAGTTGTGTAATTTAAAATTTAATGTATTTGTGGCTTGATAACTTCATTTTTAAGCAATACACACTTTTTAACTCTTATTTTTCTCAAAACAAGCTATGCAGCATGGATTCGTTAGGCTTATCTCCTACCCCCTGAACTTTCTTTGCAGTTTGCAGCAACCTTCAGTGACAATTCTGCATCTCTTCAGCATCAGCCATTCTCTCATTGAACCATATGGCCTGCTTAATAAGCACGTGAAAATTTCTTCTGGGCAGCACTTCCCTTTTGTTTTGTCCTGTTCAAACCTGTAAGCATATTTGCAAGATTGTGGAAGAGGTAGATGGAATAGGCCAAGGGAAAACCAGGATTTTAAGTTGATAGCTTTTTGAGGATAGAAGTGACATCTGGGCATGCAGATGATAAACTTAATGAGTTCTGTACAAAGTGAGTCCATGGGAAGGCTGTCGTATTATTGGTGGAGCGATGAGGTGATGACAAATTTCAAAGAATTCTACACGCAATTTAGTGTGACTGAGTTAAAAATAAGGTTAAGGGCAGGGCGCGGTGGCTCACGGCCGTGTAGTCCTAGCACTCTGGAGGCCGAGGAGGGCGATTGCTCGGAAGGGTCAGGAGTTCGAAACCAGCCTGGGGCGAGACCATCTCTACTGAAAAATAAGCAAAGAAATTAATGAAACCTAAATAAACTATATATACAAAGAAAAATTAGGCCGGGCATGGTGGTGGCATCGCCTGTGTCCCAGCTACTTGGGAGGCTGAGAGCCAGAGGAATCGCTCGAAGCCCAGGAGTTTGAGGTTGC